GCATTAGGACCCACATGGACCACAGGGTGAGCGCCCCCTGCTGGCCCCACTAACACCTCTTCCAGCAGCAACCTTAGTTTTTCCCAGGAGTCTCCCATCCAGGTACTGACCAGGCTCACACCTGCTGAGCTTCAGGGGGTAGCTAGTTGTGAGCTGCAGGGTGATATGGCTGCTGGCTGACATCAACCTTGCATCCCTTGTTAATTCAGAAAAACATTGTGTTCATTTTGAAGCATTTAGAAATCACCACATAGCACCATAGGACACTGACTGACTTCATGAAAGTGACCGCGCTGACACTCACAAGAAAAGGTAAAAATACCAGCATATATTGCTTACACAAAAGCAGCATTATGTCAATCTGAGTCTACTTTTTGAATCCCTGGTTCTCTTTCTTTAGCAAAGGTGCCTTGAAAATGTTTTCACCACCCCTTTCTAAATAATGTCCCATTTTGTTGAATTGCTAATTATATAAACATACTGTACCATTTGGTTTCTCTTTACAGCTTTTTGCTGACATTTAACATCTTTTGACCATATAAGCGTTAAGATGTGATCACTATTAGAACAGTGTATTCATCATTTGTAATTAAAGACAATGGGACATAATTGAAAGGGTGGTGAATACTTCAGCATTATGCTGTACACTGCAAAATGGAAAACGCTGCCATCTTTTTGTGGATATTTATGGGGGAACTTCACAACAAACAGGCAAAGCTTGAACAATTGCCCACCAAATTAAAAAATTCAGGTTTCCATACAAGCTTTCACTTTTGCCTTTTCCTTAGACACGACCCATTCCCTTCCCTTGCCTGAAATCTAAACCTTGCAGGGCTAGACATGGTCATGCAATCACCAGAAGGGCTTTTAACAGAAAAGGAATGGGTGATCAGGACAAGGAAGTGGAGAGGGTTAAACCCTAAGAGACTCAGCACTGTAGGTTTCCCAGGTTTGAGAGAAGGGATCACAGCTTAATAGGCCTGTGAGTATGTGCCTTGCTGCTGGTGTGACTTTTACAGTAACACGCAAGATAATATAGCAATTACACTGGAATTCACAGGGGGGGCAGCCCTGAGATTGAGCCAGACGATTAATCAACGCAACAGATTCAGACAAGCTGGGGGTTTTAAGCACTTTACTGTTATCAAAGTGTAAAACATCCTCTCATGAAAATGGAGAACTAATGAAAATGCAGCCTGGTAATGAACTCTTCCTCACCTTGGCCATGAATTAAGTGAAATGGGTTATTTTCACAGCTACAGCAAACGGAAAGAACTCTGCCCTACGCACAATTTCACACATCAACATGGAAGGTCAGTTTTTCTTTGTTTCCAAGAAACAGTGAGGCCATTCCCCTCACAACATGTAGTTTTGGGTAAAGTCCTTTTGAAAAAACGACTCCAGAATTCTTACTATGGTTAGGGGGAATTACTGCACCTAAAATTATTTTAATGCCTAAACATCTCTGCTAAAATATTTCAGAGTAATTTATATAAAAAGCACATAGTGAATAACACATAACTTGGAAGCACAATTCTCCAAATGTTTTAATGCACAGATCACCTAATTAAAGAACGGGAAACTCCACGTCATGGAGACATTTTGAACATGGTGATCAAAAGTAGTTCAGGTGGGTAGCTGCATCAGCATGCGTAGGCTGCAAAGGAACAAGTAAGTCTCCACAGCCGAAACGTTGTGTTTTCTTTCTTCTTTTTTCAGCATGGAATAAACCTATTGCTTGTTCCTTTGTGATCCAAAGCCAATCAAAGATGTTCTCTTTCCTTTAGTGCCTTGGAGTCATAAATCAATCCCTCCACTGTCTGCTGTACCAACAACCACATCTTAAGCCAGGAACCTTAGAAAAAACAGTTTCTTTCTTAGATGTTTGCAGATTTGCCTAAAAATGGAAGGAGCATTATGCGTCCCAAGAGCAAACTGTTGTCAAAAATGTTTCATAAACGCACAGAAACCTTTCCTTTCCCGTGACCAGGACAGAATGCTGGAGGGGGTCCATTACAGAAACCAATCCATCGATTCAAGCAGTATTCAGCACAGATGGAAAGAAAAACAAGCCCAACTGCTGTTTAATGGAAGCGGGTCTCAACCGCTGAATGCTTCTCGGTCAGCTACCCTGCCTCTCTTCACAATTAAACTGCAGGAAAATGAGAGAGCGTGAGAGCTGCTCTTTCTCCTCTTTTTTTTTAACAACTACTAAAAATCAATTTATTAGCACTCCCCAGCCGTGCTCAGGCTCGCTCGTCTACTTGAGTTTTGTCAGCCCAGCCCCTGCAAACACTTAACTTTATTGACAGTTCATTTACTGGCACACTCCCAGGCGCATGCCGATGATCTGGTGGTCTGCCCAGCCAGGACCGCAGAGCGTCGGGATTTTAAATACTCCCCAGCCACAGGGGAAGGCGAGTGGGAGGAGGAGGAGAAGGAGACGGCGGCGGGGGGGAGCTTGAGAGGAGAGGGAAGCTGGCAGCAGTTGTTACCATAACAAACTCAATTGTTCTCAGCAGTGCTCGAGCAAATAGAGTCATTAATTACGCTGGCTGTTGGCTGGAGTGGCAATCAGCACGAAGCGGCTCACAGCTTCCTCTCTGGGAGACAAGACAGATGCCATTAAAAATCAAAATCAAGGGGATAACGGGGGAAAAAAAAATTAAACAAAACACCAGCGTGCGTGCCAGCTGGACTTGGCCCACGGGCTGACCCGCACTGTCTGTCCAAGTCTTCTGGAATCCCCATTCCTGTCAGCATGGGAGATGTCCCACAAAGAGACTGTTTTTATCGAGAGACAGTTATTTACTCTAAATGGCAGGATTCCTGTCTCCAAATAGCAATTCAGCACCAAAGATCGGAGGTAAGTTACTGCCTCACTCCACATATACATACACACTGCTTCCACCAGCTACCCCAAGTTCAGCTTAAAGAAAAGTGCAAATATGAATGATGATGTTCAAGTCGGCATGTTTGTAAATC